GCGGGGCATTCTTCCGTTTGGGGAAAAAAAAAACCCCAAAAAAAAAAAAAAAAAAATCCTGGTAAAAGCGCACACCGGACCGCTCAGGGTAAAACACTCACAGAGTTCAGTTGATCTGTTTGGATCAGACAGATCCAACTGACTGATGAATTAGCGCAGATTTTTCTGCAGATGGGAACCAGGAGGAAGTTGTTCAGACCCCAGCGAGTGAAGTGATGCTAATTTAAGTGAAGTCGCTTAATTTAATTTATTAAAAGTTATTGGGGTGGTTTTTGTCACTACGAGAAAATGTAGATACATTTATCTGCTTAATCTGTGATGGGATCTGGATTCACGGTGAACATTAACTAAACCGCATAAAATGCGACTAAATAGCCAATGTTAATATGATTGTAATTTCACGGATAAAAATAGTACATGACCGATTTTTTTATGTTGTCGGTCAAGATAACGGATAACAAAAAAAAGTCTAGCGCCACCTGCCGCCCTGACACCAACTCACACACATCTTCATTCACAGTCTTACTTGTAAATTGATGTTTCTTTTCTCGGACGTTTTGATGTTAGCTTGTCGATGTCTCAGTTTTATTCGCTGGGAAAATCAATAAGCAGCTTGAGGTGACTCTGCTGCTCTCTAGTGGCGAGAAGCTGTAATGTTGGCTGGTAACAATCGGAATGTATTGTGGGAGATGTAGTTTGTAGTCAATTCGTGCTCAAAACCTATTTTAAGTCAATCATCGGCCTATAAAATGCTGGGGCGGGCCACATAAAATGACATGGCGGGCCACATGTGGCCCGAGGGTCTTGAGTTTGACACATGTGCTGTAGAGCATCAAGGATCATACAGTCATGTGTTAGATGATGTAGAGTTTTTAAAGGTTAGGGTCGAGGCCACAGGAGGATTTGAATGAACATACTTTTTGTAAAGACAACAGAAAACATTGTAGCACACCACAAAACAGTTCAGTTATGAAAATATTTGTTGCCATAGTGAATACTATCCATAGAAAGCTCAAATGCAGTTAGAAAAAAATAACTTATTTCTGTTATTGTGCAGAATCAATGTCAAGGAATAAGAAAAGCTAAAAAGCAAAAAAGCCACCAGGAGCTTTTCTAGTGAACAAAGAGAAAAATGTCCTGACTTCATTGATGTCTATTTCATGGAGTAATGTAGTAAATGAACTGCTTTCATCTCATCCTTTTTAGACAACATGATCAACACTGAAACAAAAATGATTATAATATGATTTTATAGCAGATAAAAGCTTTACCATGTGTCTCTGGCAATGAAATGTCACAAAGGACTTAGCATCAACTATCATCAAGCTCAATTAGTGTTTATTATTATACATTAATAATAAATTTGAAGTTTTATTGCAAGTTACTGACAAAGGAAATGTGTCTTTGCTAATCTGGTAAAAAAAAATCTGGTAAAAAAATATTAGAATATATAACTGAACAAAAATAAATTTTGTGACTAATAAATGTCAACTTTTGAGACATCAGATCCACAGCTAGAACCCCTCATGGCTCCAAGCTAATCAAATGGAAATTTTAATGCAGAAAACTTATAGATTGGACATCTAACATGGTAACATGTTTTACCAATTCAGTAATTTGTCACAAAGGGAAATTTAATAGAACGTCCAAGATAACATGTTCAACTGAACATAAAATGACTAAACTTCTTTCCTTTATATTTATATTCACAATAACTTACCAAGGGATCTGTACTTTTTGGTGTGTAAAAAAAGTCTGGATCTTTATTCATCTCCATGCTGAGATCAGGACTGATGTCAAACAGCAGCAGCTCAGTGTTTTCTCCTCCTTTATCCACACTGAACACTCCACTCCACAGGACCTGCTGACCACCTGGGACGACCGAGGAGGCCAGCAGTCTGCTGCCTTCACCTCCAGAGGAACTGAGAGTCGCTCCACGAAGAGACTTCAGAGTGTCACTTTTACTGGTTTCAGCCTGAAGCCAGATGAGACGGACTTTGTTGGTTTCACCTCCTGATGCCACGTTGGAGAACAGATACACTGTTGAGTTGATCTGGAATCCGTCCACAAAATCTACATCAGCTTCAGTTTGGATCCCAGGTTTATCACCTGACTGACCAGACCAGGAAAATATTTCCCCATGCTGTCTGTGATCTGTGTTGTGAAGGTTGATAGTCTTTAAATCAGCGCTACACCTGTCCTCCTCTGTCTTGTCTCTATGGTTCTTTATCGCTGTCAGAATGTAAGTCTCAGTCTGACCTGAATTCTTCTTCACATCCACCAGAAAGCTGACAGACCCACTGCTGCTCCTTAGAGGTCCCACCTGGATGGATTCACTGTAAACCAGCTTATTGATGTTCTTCAGGTCCAGAATCTCACAATAACCACAGTAATTGTTGGTCACACCGCAGCTGACCACTGTATCATTCCTAGCAAATGGAATTAAAATATTGACACTAAACTTTGCATTTAACAAATCCGTTTCTGAGATTCGATGAAACTCCGTAACACCCATCCCATTGTCGTCCTTCAGGATCCCTCTCTGGGTCAGGCTGTGCAGCAGAGTCAGGTCATGGCTCAGCTGGTAAAGCTTCTCCTCTGTAGCGATGTAAACAGAGTTGGTGGCCACTGCAACCTGCTGAATGTTTCCCTCAAAACTGAAACTTCCATCTTCCTTGTGACTCCACGCAGTTTTGACCCAGACAGCACAAAGCAGACCGAGCAGCAGGATCATGTTGCACCAAAGGATGCAGCAATGACTGAGACACTGAGGGACACTGATCTGTGGGTCTCTGCAGAGATGACAACTAAAGCTAAAGGTGCTAACTGTGGGAGGAACTGAGCCCACACAGCAGAACCACAAATAAAAATACATGGTTTGTCTCACGTAGTTTGTAAAGATTGGAGCACAAATATAGATTTATATCACATTGTTTTTTTGTTTGTTAAACATGGCAACTTGATGTGCATTTCTTTTAGCCCAAAGCATACTTTCAGAAATGGAGAATATAAGCAATCCTTGATATGTTGCATTTATATTTGCATTCATTTTGTCTTTGCCTTGATTTAGGTTAACAACTGTGACAATGTGTGATGTATCTCAACTTTTGCCAAGAAATGGCAGATATTAAATTACTTTTGATTAAATGCTAATTATATCAGCAAACATAGAGCATCGCTTTCCATCTTTGGCAACAGTGCCATCTAGTGTTAAATCTCGGAAGCCCACTTTAAAATAAATAAATAAATGAACAAATAAACAAATAAATAAAAAAAACGTTAAAACATGTATGTACTTATCCCAACTGGGTTTGGTTCTGAATTGTTTTCTTGTAACACCATGTCTATACACAAATAATGTCTAATGAAATAAAGAAAACTACTTTAAAAGATTTTTAATTTGTTAAATTTTTTTTTTTAATCCTGAGAAAAACAGTAGGGTATGCTTTCATTTTTAAAATATATTTTATGTAACCTACCTGGTAAGGTAGGCTAAGTTTTTAAGTTTGGTGTCTAACCAAACTTAAAAAGAAGGGAAAAAAGAGAGGAAAAAAACCCCCCAATATTGTTTACATACCAAATAGGTTGCTTACCTACGAATTCAGCAAACCCATGTTAGTGCATAGCTCTTTTTATCTGTCATATGAAGATAATTGTCTCATAAAGAATTTTTTTTTAATTAGGCTAACTCTCAGCATGTGCTGAGGAATTCCTTTGATCTTCTTATAACGCAGTTTTTACCCAGCTAGTATTGAATGTTTGGAGCACGTCAGGTGAACGTTGTCTTGAACGTCCGCTGATTACGTTTGATCTAAGTCCAAATGAAACTCCAAAGGACGTCCGGCGGACGTCCTCCGGGAGGACGTTTCCGGACTCAAAATTGACCTCTATTAGACTTTCGGTGGTGTCCGCCGAAATGTCGTAGAAATGCTAACATAGCAGCAATTTTATTGGAATGCAAGGTTTTCATGAGGAACAGTTGTCTTCCATGGGATATTAATCCAATGTTGTAACAAATTGTAGAAGAAAAGCCAAGCTGGGCCCAGACTTACGGTTTTCACATGGAACAGTTGTCTTCTGTTTTTTTTTCTTTTTCTTGCCCCAGCTAACCTAGCATACATAGTCGGAATGTCAATCACACATCTGAAAAAAATAAATTTAGAAGAAAACTGCCTTCGTTAATGAAGGCAGTAACAAAGTCAACGCAAGGAATCTGCGGCCTTCATGGGGGAATTTTACTGCCATAAGTCAAGAGCACAATTCCCAGTTAAAATTCCCTCATACCTTCACTTCCACCAAAGAGAGAGACGCTCCACAAAAAAAGGACACCTCAACGTGTGAGTTGATTTTCAGAGCAATAGTGGCGCTATTGCCAATAGGTGGAAGACCTTGCGTCTTCTTCTTCTATATTTATTGACAGTTGGCAAACAACATAAAACGGTGCATTACCGCCACCAACTGGTATGGAGTGTGGAATGTCACTCAAGTATTAAATTCTATCAAATTCTGCATTAATTTAACATAACAAAATATTATCTGATAAATGTTATTTTTGAATTATTTCTAAGTAAATCAACTAAGTCTAATGTAACTTTAAATCTATTTAATTTTTGAATCAACTTGTCTTTCTTCCACATACTTTTGACGGAATAACATAACATGATCTATTGTCTCATCAACTCCACAATAGTCACATTTACCTTGGCAATGTTTCCCTAAAATAAGCAGAGCGCTATTTAGTCCATTGGGCCCCAAATCTAATACGACAAATAATTGTCTCCTCTCTCCTCGGCCTCCCTGTCTTTCTCATTTCTCCAGTCGTCTTTTGGATGCTATAAAACCAACGTCCCTTTCTTTTCTGTCTCCCATTGCTTTTGCCATTTTTCTTTAATTTTCTGCTTAATTAACATTTTCATTTCTGTAAATTAACAAATAAATCCGCTGATGAGTTTCTAGCAGCCTCCTTTGCAGCTATTTCTGGCATTTTGTTTCCTTCAACACCATAGAGAGCTGGCGTACATAAAGAGTTAATTATTAAAAACATTATATGTATTTTGTATGTATTTGTTGAATTTCTATGAAAAATATCTGACCTGATTTCTGAATGTCTGCATTTTAAACTGACTAATGACGAGCAGGAATCTGAATAAATTATTGATCTCATTGGTCCCTATTTGATACATTTTTGGTCGCATCTGAGAAAATTTGAACATACTTGTAATAGTTATATAATTTGTACCACATGTGAATTTAAAATTAACTACTTATTCCCATTTCTCCTTTTCTTGGGCTGGATGATCCAATCTATGACCTCTTAAATTAACCCAATAATTTAATGTTCATTGTTCTCTTCTAATTTTAAGTGACATTTCTCCCATTTCTACCAATAATGATGCTGTTGGAGTTGACCTAATTGCACTTGTACAGAGTTGCAATGCTTGATATTGACCACAATCTATTGTAAATCTTTTGTGAAGTAGTATCTGCAGCTGAATTACAAACAATGCTTTCATAGTCTGCCACCTTGTGTCTAATCTGGGAAGCTACTCTGAAATTTGATAGGAGGAATACCTAAAATCAACTGTTACAACATGAAAGTCACATCTTGGTACTTCAGTATAAATAAACCCATCATACAGTTACAGAAAATATTGATTTTCTTCATCGAGAGACAAAAGGAGACAATTTGTGTCACTAAATCATAATTAAGGTTGGTACATATGCTATTATGAGTCAAAGATAGTAGAGCTATTATAAAATGTTTATAAAAAATATACAAAGGCTTTAATGAAAAAAGAGGAAAATTAAACTGGGATATTTTATCCCAAATTGTGCTATGAATTCTTTCATTGTTTATATCACATAATAATAATAATAATAATAATAATAATAATAAAAACTGGTTTAAAAGTGTGCAATCTTTTTGCTATTGTCTATGTCAGTTTATCCTGAAACCAGTTCAGAGGAACTTTGTCTTGGCTCTACATTTTCAGAGACAGACTCAAAGGTTATACATTAGAACTGCTTAATGGAAAAAGAAAATAATAAAGACAAATGAATGTTATAAACAAAGTTTTTTAAGTTGATGTACTTGATATGACTTGAAGATGACTACACATTTGCGTTTGTGCACAGATGTCCATGTTTTGTTTTCTTGACGCTCTTGACTTAAAGACACAAATGTAATCGTATGAAAACACAGTTGTGGATCCATTTTGAATCACTTTAAAAGCGAGTTAATATCTAAAATTGTGGTGTGCGCTCATTTCCTTCCTCTCTCAGCACATCGTTCAGCAAAGACGTAGCGCTTTCAGCCACATCTCTGTCGACACAGAGACCACAGTGTCTACAGTCCATCAGTGTCTCACTGTCTCAGTCAGAGCTGCCTCCTTTGGTACAAGATGATCTTTCTGCTCGGTCTGCTTTGCTCCATCTGGGGAGAACCTGTAAGAGGTTTCAACTTTACAGAGGATCTCCGTCAGCTCGCTGTGGGTAACAGCTCTGTTTACATCGCTACAGAGGAGAATCTTTACCAGCTGAGCCATGACCTGACTCTGATCTACAGCCTGACCCAGAGAGGGATCTTAAAGAGAGGGGACCAACCGGACAAAGAGGAGTTTTACAGAGACCCCATGAAGAAGGCCTGGAACACAACTTTCAGAGTTAATGTTTTATTACCATTTGTTAAGAATGACACATTGATCAGCTGTGGTGTGACGGACAAACTCTGTGGTTTCTGTGAAGTTCTGGACCTGAAGAACATCAATAAGCTGGTTTACAGTGAATCCATCGAGGTGGGACCTCAGAGGAGCAGCAGTGGGTCTGTCAGCTTTCTGGTGGATGTGAAGAAGAATTCAGGTCAGACTGAGACTTACATTCTGACAGCGATAAAGAAACAAACAGACAAGACAGAGTGTAGCGCTGATTTAAAGACTATCAACCTTCACAACACAGATCACAGACAGCATGGGGAAATATTTTCCTGGTCTGGTCAGTCAGGTGATAAACCTGGGATCCAAACTGAAGCTGATGTAGATTTTGTGGACGGATTCCAGATCAACTCAACAGTGTATCTGTTCTCCAACGTGGCATCAGGAGGTGAAACCAACAAAGTCCGTCTCATCTGGCTTCAGGCTGAAACCAACAAAACTCACACTCTGAAGTCTCTTCGTGGAGCGACTCTCAGTTCCTCTGGAGGTGAAGGCAGCAGACTGCTGGCCTCCTCGGTCGTCCCAGGTGGTCAGCAGGTCCTGTGGAGTGGAGTGTTCAGTGTGGATAAAGGAGGAGAAAACACTGAGCTGCTGCTGTTTGACATCAGTCCTGATCTCAGCAGGGAGATGAATAAAGATCCAGACTTTTATATATCAGTGAACAAGCCAAACAACCCAGTAAGTCGCTGTATTAAACATAAACTACTTTCAGTGTTGATGTTTCATGTCTTGTTTTACTGAGTCCTGGATGAGAATCTTCAGCAGAGTTTTGCATGATTCAAATAAGACAGAGAATGTTCAATAAGTGGAAAGGTTGGGTAATTTATATTTATAATGTAAAGGTTGGTATGGCTTCATGGATCAGTGCATTTCTTTTTCACTTTTGAATAATTTTAAATAAACTGTTATTGTGTTCAGTTTTTACCTTAATTTAAACCATTTTCAAAAATTTTTAACTTTACCATCTTTATGAACTTTGGCAGTGTCTACATGTTTGTGTTTGTTTAGTTTTCTGAGTGTCATTTTAGATATAAAATATAGTCATTCAAAGCCAGCTTATTAGAATCTGTCCCAAACCCTCTGTATAAATCTTCCCTAAGTTTACAATTCAAAGAACAAGACAAAATGTTGAAACGATTCTCTCTGTTCCTCAGTCAGTTCGGCTCCTGAAACCAAAGGTTGTGCTTTTGAAGCAGAACTTCATGAGTTCTGTTCTGGCCGTCAGGCTGAACAACTGGATGGTTTTCTTCATTGGAACAGCAGATGGACAGCTCATCAAGGTGGGTGGGAAACTAACAACTGGAGGAAAAAAACTGTTTTAGCAAAACAAGTAGCAAACAGAATTTTATGAATCATTTATGAACACCATAACTATGTCACTGTGAAGATGACAGGGTTTAACCTGGACAAACCCCACAGAGGACCAGGGATGTTATTTAAATAGAAACACAATCCAACAAGCTCTTTGTTCTTTAAGAGCGTCTTTCAAATTTGAAAATTATTATGCTAATTGTTATACAGCCTCAGAAAGAGATGATTCAAAATTAAAATAGAATATGCAAATGTCAGATTTCTTTTGGCTTTTTGCATAGGAATTCCATTCAACCCTGTTTCTTTAATACATCCTGTATCTCTAACCTACACTGTTGTTGTTGTCATCAGCTTTCTGTGGACAGGAAGTACCAGCCCTCCTGTCCACAGATCCTCCTCAGAACCAGTGGAGACAACAAAGTGTTTCCAAA